GTTCCACTCATTTTTTCATGAGATCAAAGTATCTGCATTTTTTGAAGACCCTGTATGAGGCAAATGAAAATATGACTCGGAGTGAAAATCCTCATAGTATCACTCCATTCCATTTCATATTTGATCGTTTTAGTGCAAGAGAGTTCAAGATTATCATCCTTTATAACAGTTCATGTTTGGTAAAAAAAATATCGAAATTAATTTATATCTCCTAAACGGTAATAGATAGGTATAGGGAAATAGTATATGAATTTGTTGACAAAGTGATGGTGAATCATAATATGATATTATATACGGGGTGTTCCATTTGAAAAATCAAAGAAGCCGCTACTTTATAGTAGAAGCGACAACGCCGCTTCGTCTGAAATATTTTAGGCGGGTAGGTCATATTGATTTATGCATACTGTGAAATTTTCAGGTTGATCCGTTAAATAGTTTGTCAGAAACCGCTAATTAACGCTCATTATGAAAAGCCCTGTATATACTTTTGGAAAAGGTGAAACAATTTGAAATTCTTCAAAATGGTCGTAAACCAAAATGTTCGAAGATATTTATCGTACATGATCTCACATAAAGCGAAAGGGATAAAAATAAAATTCTGAGAGTTCATTTGAGGAAAGCTAGAGAAAATACCCAAAGCCGATTTTCATGTAAGCAAAAAAAATTTTTGTTAATGATATCGCATACACGACTGAAGATTTGGAGTAAAAATATAACCCACATTGAAAAAATAGTAGTAAGAAACCAACACGATCTGCAGATATACCTGTGGATAAAATTTTTAAGAGACACAATTGAAATACGAATACAGAACAAAATCAATAAACGGTGTGAAAAATCATGAGAAACTCGCAAAATATTAATGAAGACTTAAAACTATGTTCTATACTAACCGACCATGAATGAAATTAGGAAGGCATCTTATAATGAAAATGTCAAATGTCAGTTGTTGCAGAAAATATTCTTATTCAATCTCCTGAGTTTAGAATTTTTTTCTTGATTTAATTCAAATGTATTCTACTCTATTCGGAAAGATCTTTTATATGCATATATTTCACTCTGGAAAATTTCGAACTTTTTAAATTATTGGAATAAATACCTGGTTACTATCCTTGGTTTGGGTGCAGTGATTTGCACCATTAAAATTGTTTGACGAAAATACTGGAAACTGGAACTGGTAAAAAGAAAATCTGTTACTGTCAATTTTCTTGATCTCATTTTTTTGGATGGACTGATTCAATTCAAGTTCAATTGTGATTAATAATTTGTATTTTAATTGTTTTCGGATTGTTTTTGATTTATTTTTCTATTAATTGTGGAGCATCAAAAAACGTGGCTTCCCTCTTCGAGGCTTGGCAAACAATCCTATTGTTAACAAAGAAGTTGAATATACGCTTGGATACGAAATAATAATTTTACCAATTCAAAATTTCGAAATTTCATATCTCTAATACTAGTTCACTTATAAACTTGATACATACATCTAAATTTAGCTACATTTATAAATTTTATATAACCTCACTACTGTCTAAATATCTTCATTTTCTCTAAGCATCATTTAAGGATCGTAACTAAGGAAGCTTTCGACAACTTTGTATTTCAAACATTTTATCATTTCCAATTAATCCACATGATTTTATTGTCTCTTCGGGTTTTCCACAACAGATACAATAGATGCAATAATATTTCTGATTGATAATGTTGTATGAATTATGAAAACACTATTTTTTGTTATTCAAGCTTTCGGAAATATATTTTTTTCCTTTATCAAGAATATCTGCAAAATAAAGATCATGTGAATATTATACAGTAATAGATATGTTACAAAAACATATAAAATATAAAAAAGGCATATAAATCCAAACATAAAAACGAAAAGTCAAATGTAAAATTTGACGTTGAAAATTTTGCTACAGCACCAGAGAAAGTGTGATTATTATAATATTTACACATACAGTGAGATTTAAATGTAAGTGTTAGTGAAAAATTATTAGTAATATGATATTGAAATTATTTGTTCAATTTTATTTATCAAAAGTTAAAATATAATTGTAAATTTGACTTGAATTTTGTATTTCTGATTTTTTGTTTGAATTATTATTATGTTTACTTATGTGAACCATTTCTAGAAAAAGCCTTTTGAATTTATTATTTTCAACTGTTAAAATTTTAGTATTTTGATAATCCATAACATGATCTGAAACATCCTGGGCGCGCCGAGTTGAATTTTAATTCAAAAACTATATATGATAACATATCTAAACATAAAAAACGAAACCTTTAGTCTCTCAAAAGATATTTAACGCACCATTCGCTGAAACAAACTAAAGCAAAAATATACATATTTACAAGTGAAATTTCCAAATGATGTGTCGCTACTGATTGGGTAGAGGACAAAGTTTAACTGTTGGGCGAGTGTAAGAACTATTTTTCGTTCGTACAAGCGCCGCTTTTATTATCCCGTCTTTGCCTGGGAATGTTTTCTCGATAACAGCCAATGGTCATTGTAATGGAGGAATATTATCCTGAATGCTAATAACAATCATACCGACTTCTATAGGATTAGACGGGGAATTCCATTTTTGCCGAACCTGAAGCGTTGAAAGGTATTCCACGTGCCAACGCTTCCAGTAATGTTGGACTATAGAGTCTAATAGTTTGAATCTGTTCAGAAGGTTGATATTTCTTTCAGACAATATTCCACTGGTAGTGATTTCAGTGGGAAACTATACAAAAAAATGTGCGGGGGTTAGAGCTATTGGGTCGGTGGGATCATTACTTGAAAAACACAAGGGTCTCGAATTGAGAAGAGCTTCGATCTGTACGAGAACAGTATTGAATTCTTCATAACTCAAAATTTGATTTCCTATAACCTTGGCCAAATGGGCTTTCACACTTTTTATAGAGATTAAATCTGAATGATATTTTCTGAAAGTTTAACTCTTTTTGAAACGAAACTTTATAGGTTTGGGATTCCATGAGCTGATAAACCTCTTTTAATTGTGATTCAGCTTTTTTTAACTTCGAACCTTGGTCTGAAAACAAAGTGAAACGTGACCTCTCCGTGATAAAAATCGTTTCAATGCAGCTAAGAAAGATTCAGTAGATAAGGACGAGGAAAGTTCTAGGTGAATGGCTTTCGTAGCTTAGCAAATAAATAAACAAACATACGCCTTTTGGCTTTTAATACCTCTCCTTGGACTCATGGTGAGGTGAAATGCTCCTGTATAATCAACTCTGGTTGAGAAAAAAGCTTTGGATTCAGTTAGTATTTCTTTAGGAAGTTCAGCCATGATTGGATAAGTAGGTTTAGGTTTCAGTTTGAAACAGTGATTACACTTCCATACTCGTTGATGAATAATATCGCGAGCAGATAGAATCCAATATTTTTGTCTTAATATTGACTGCAATAAGTGAGGTCCAGAATGCAAATAAATGTTATGGTTGTAATCGATCAAAATATTCACGAACGGATCTGATTTTGGTAGCAAAAAAGGCAGGAATATTGTGGTGAACCACTGGTGAAGAGACAGATGATGAATATCTACACATAAGCGAATAATTGGAAATTGCAAATTCAAATTACATATTGTGGTGAACCACTGGTGGAGAGACAGATGATGAATATCTACACATAAGCGAATAATTGGAAATTGCAAATTCAAATTACATTCATAAGACTCCCTTTTTTTTCTCTCTCTCTCTCTTACTGTTTCCTCTTGCATTACTATTTTTCAATAAGTAAGTATATCAGGTTATTATTTCTATTGAGTCTTCTTCATTAATTTACCTATCAATAATGAGGATTCCTTTTTTACCTCGAAATGTATCTCTACCTGCTCAACTTTTCATTTAATTTTTGGATTATCAAAAACGCTGATTTTTCTTTCTTTCGATATGTATTTAAACTCTCATGGGTTCAACAGATTTCATCAGTATTTTTTCCTTTTTTTTGAATAAACGTTAATAATAATAATTTAGGGCATATTTCAGATTTGATGATATAAGTTGATTGAAAAAGATGTTTCACACATTTTACTTTCATGAAATTAATAAGATATCTCAGATAAGTACTCATTTTGGATATTGTTTCTTTTTGAATAGTTAACAGGAAATCTCACCAAATTTCAATTTTTATAAAGATGAATTTTTGAAGTCGATACTAAAATGTATTCTGGAAATAATAAACAAAAATCGATAATAAAACTCTGTATTTTATTTTCAAACATTCAGTCGGTTATAGTTGGAATTTTTAGGCCAGTCTGGGTTTTTCTTCTTCAGCATGTGCAGCATTCCATTCCAAAGAACGGAGAATTGCAGCTGGGATTGCTGGTGGGGTATTCGTGTCAACTGGAGGCTGTGGAAGGTGGGAACCTTCAGCTGAGAATCCGTTTTCATTAGCGATATATTTAAGTGAGATTGGAGTTCCGTCAGGGGCTGTGTAGGAAACAAATCCAACTACTTCTTCGGCTTCAAGTTTGTCGACTCCGGCATTTTTCAAAACTCCATGTTCTTCAGCGACAATACCGTTGCCCGTTTCGAAAGATGAATGGTAGCTGCCATCGAAATTAACCTCAGAATCTTGTTTGACTATGGGTATGAAGGATCCTTCCTTCGCTGGAACAGAAGCACCATAGGCTACTGCCACCAAAGCCAATACGACGAACTGTAATAAATTCAAAACCTGGTTTAAGAATTATTTATATAAATTTCATTTGCTAACGATTTCATCAATTCATCTTTACTCAGTTTTTTATTCAATCACTGAAATTTCTAATGACTCGATTACAGCATATTTTAATCGAACACATGATTTCACTGAGAAAAATCGAACTATTTTTCTCAAGTACACAACACATGCACTACAGGAAAATCCTTGAGGCGCTCTTAGAGCGGTGCCTGTGCTTCACATTGAATTTAAATCGCTGAAGATTAAATCCATTTTGAAAAACATTCTCAGGAAGTTTATTCCACATGGACGCAATTCTCCAAATGGAAAAGTTCTTGAACAGTGAAGTTTGAGGTGTACTGAGTTGAACCTCAAAACGATGAGCAGCCGCGGTCTGTGGCGTATTTCTGATATGTACCGCTCTTGGTGGAATCAAATGTGCCAAGTCACTTGAACACTTCCAGTGAAAGTATCTATAGAATAAAATCAAATTTCCAACCTTTCTTCGATGTTCCAGACTATCAAGATTGCAAGTGATGTTCGCGTCTCCAATCAGGTGGATGGCTCTTTTCTGGATGGAATCCAGCAACTTCAGGGTATGTTTGGGGGCAGAGCCCCATACATGAGAACAATACCCCAAAGAAGGTCTGATCTGACCTTTATAAAACAGTTTTCCGAAGTTTTGAGAAGCAGCCTTTGCAATTCCAGCGACATGATTGTGCCAAGACATATTGGTGTCCATTTTAACCACCGAAATTTATATCATTCAGGAAGACATTAATATCCATCTTTCGTATTCAGAAGGTTGAATGTATTATCTGTCAAGGTTATTTGCAGATTCCGGCACCTAGTATTGAATAAATATTGAATAACCACTTTCTCATCTTGTTTCTTCATTTGGTGAATGGTATGTCTATCATTTCGGTATCGCACAACACATACAGTATGTTGGGTTAGATATTTATTGATTCCCTTACATGAAATAATGAGGTTCAGTGTTGTGTTTGTTTTTATACTGCGTTTGTTATTGCAAATTCATTCGATTTTTTTCTCTCCGAATCATCTTGAATTCAATGCTCTATATATCGAATAGAAACGATTTTTCAGATCGGAAATGGTCAAATTCCACCCTCTTTATCTCACTGTGGTTTTTATGTGAATCCAATCTTGTATGATTAATTTTTTTTTCAATTGAACATTTTATGTTTGAAGGTGGTTGACAATGTTTCGTAGTGCATTTCATTGTCTAATATGATATGAATTGATTTGAAATCCCTGAAAAAAATAAAAATATTAGCTGAAAAGTAACAATTGTATCAAGCAAAAAACGGAAATTACAATGAAATAAAATGCAAGCAACAATCAAAAATTGAAGTATCAACACGAGATGAAAGATTAAAAATTATTAACAAGAAATGACAATGAAAAATTAAGAGATTCCAAGCCAAGTTACTTCACGACGTTTCGATTGTTAGCATCCACAATCGTCTTCGGATGATGACTATCATCACCCATGTTCTAATAGTGGATAACATACTAAAAGTTAATTCTTTACTCTAATTTTCATATACCCCACATTATCAACAGTAAGAACATACCTACACAGGTACGTAGTTACTGAATCATAATTACCTAGAGCAGGGGTCTCCAAACTTTGAAGCCTTCGGGCCATAATGATTTTTTCAGTTTGTTCCAAGGGCCA